ATGACTTGCAAGTCGCTTCCATACCTTCAAGCTTGCATCTTGTTACCTGCCAGGAAGTAAGGTCTTAGCTCTCATCAGCAGAGGTGGTGGTCTGATCGTAGCCCCAAAGCGTAGGGAGTTGGTGTGGACCTTTCAGCATGGTGTGCTTTTGAGGGCGTTCAGGGCTCCTTTCCTTTCTCACCGTGGACTTGCGCTTCTCGTGGAGAAAGACCTTTTAGGACACAGACCTGCATCTTTTGCCTACAGTGGAAAAATGGCCACAGCTCTAGATTGGGTCCCTGCAGGATAGTCCTCATAGGCCTGCCGTGGAAGTCCTCTGCTCAGAAATTGACCTCACCAGCCTGGGCAACATAATGAGACCTTGTCTAGCTACTTGGGAGGCTGAGGTGAGAGGATTGCTTGAGTCCAGGAGTTGGAGGCTGTGGTGAGCCTTGATCATGCCACTGCACTCTAGCCTGGGTGACAGAGTGAGACCCCCAACTCAAAAAAGAAAAGAAAAAGAAAAGAAAACAAATTGACCTCTGCATTACCTACTCTCACGATAAACACCTGGGAGCCACTGGTGGTTTTGTGCCAGGTAAGCAGACAGGGGAGAGGCCAGAATCTTAGGGCAGTGAGGTAAGGAGGGTAGGAGGTTAAAATCCACTCTCTAGGATGGGACCAAAGGAAACTTCCATGGTTCTTCCTCTGGTGTTAGCAGTAGCTGTGTGCCTCTCTAGGGAACTTCAGAGACTTGGGGACCACAGCAGTCATGTCACACTATCACGGAGATGTCCTTGCAGTCCTGTGTGGCCTAGTTTAGTTTTGCCTAAAGAGAGAGTCCCCATTCCTTCCCCCAGCTCCTGGAAAACTGCTAGTTCTTGTGCTGACATTCAGCATCCAGGACTTGCAAGAAAGTCCAGATGGACTAAATCCCCCAGTCCTCCTGTTGGAGATAGCCCAGTACTGGTGATGTCAGTGACCTTACTTTCATGTATTAAAAAAAAAAATCATTTAAAAGGTTACCTTTTTTTGGCCACGGGGACCATAAAGGATTATTTCATAGGTGAATTAAAACATAAGAAAGTTAATAAAGCTTGAAACACAGTCCCTATTGAGAGTGTACTCCAGAGAAGCCTTCAAGAAAAAGCCAAGAAGCATGAAAAATGAAATTATTCCGATAGCATTCTTCTTATTATAGACTCATATAATTTCAGTGTCTCCTTAGCTGTTGTCAGCATGGTTTTCTTTTCAAAATAAAATTTAAATGTGTACCATAAGTTTTTATAGTATATTGAATTTCATAGCGTGGCTGTGAATTTTAACTTAATCGCACATGTGGTTCATTGAAAGTCTTTCCTTGTGTGGCCCTGGATGCTTTTGTCATGATTATTTATTCCTTAAGCAGTGGCGGTTTGCCTACTCATTTGCTTGCAATGAGAGAAGGTGGTTGTAAGGATGGGAAGGAAAACCCTTCTCAGGTGGAGGGTTTGGCCTTAGCCGGCAATCTGTTGGCTTCCAGGATGTCCAGGAGGGTTGGTACGGCTGCCATGTTTGGCAGCCTCTCATCCCAGCAACAGACTGGTGTCTGCCCTGGGCCCAACAGCCCGCTGAGACTTACTACTCGTACATTTTCTCTGTTCTCCCAAAGACAATTTTCAGGTATACTTGGGTACGATCAGAGACAGCGCAACACAAGAAATATTTAAGTGAAATGCTGCTTCCTTGTCGTGGGCCACCATCTTGCCCGTTTCCTGACTTGAAATAATATTGAGATCCCCACTTAGGAGAAGACAGCAGAGATTGTGGGAAGGCCTTCTAGTTTATTTTACTTTAATTAATTGTTATTATTTTTGAATCAGATTCTCACTCTGTCACCAACTGGAGTGCAGTGGCACATTCGTGGCCACTGCAACCTCGACCTGCTGGGCTCCGGTGATCCTTCCACCTCAGCCTTCCAAGTAGCGGAACCACAAGTGCGTGCCCGATGCCCGACTAATTTTTTGATTTTTTTGTAGAGACAAGGTCTCATCAAGTTGCCCAGGCTGGTCTTGAACCCCCCTGGGCTTGGGCAATCCTCTCGCCCTGGCCTCTCAAAGGCATGCACCACCACGCCCGGAATTACAGGCGTGCACCACCACACCCGGTTGGCCTTCTACTTTGGAATCATGTGTGGCTTTTACATGAACACACACAACTTCTAGGGCCACGTCATCCACGTGACTCCAGTTAATGCGAAAAGTTGGATCGTCGCCAAGATCATTCACTGCCCTTTCTCCTTTTACTGAATAGAATCTTTGATCCAACAGGAGGACCCAAGCAGAGATTTTTTTTAAAAAATGCACCTTTTTGGGGAGCGGGAAATGGAGAGTTTCTGACCAATAGACATAAAGTTTCAGTCAAGTGAGATGAATGAGCTTCAGAGCTCTGCCATGAGACATCATTCTTATAGCCAGTGTGAATATATTGTCGACGCAAAAACTGGTGGAGTGTAATGTTCTTACCTCAGTCTTTAAAAAGTACCTTTGGTTTGTAAGCTTCTGCCGCCATTGACCATGATTTGTTTGGGTTGGAGCCAATAGCTTAAGTTCCTTGGGCTTTTATTTCCCTGTTAAAGGAAGTTAATCCTTGATTTTAGTTATCATTTCTTGAGTGGCTATCTTGTACCAGGCATGGTGACATATTCATCTGTGCTAATACCTCCATGAGCTGTGCCCTGTTCTAACCATCCTTTTACCAGTGAGGCACCAGGGACCAGGAGAGGTTAAGTTACTCGCCCAAGGTCAGGTAGATAATAAGTGTGTAGCTAGAATGCAAACCCAGCTGATTGACTTCTAAGCTGATAGACTTTTTAAAAAATTATTGTCATGGTTATTATTTGAGTCAGGGTCTCACTCTGTCATCCAGGCTGGAGTGCAGTGGCACAATCATAGCTCACCACAGCCTTGACCTTCTGGGCTCAGGTGATCCTTCCACCTCAGCCTCTTGAGTAGCAGGACTGCAGGTGAGCCCCACCATGCCTGGCTAATTTTTTTGTAGAGATGAGGTCTTGCTATGTTGCCCAGGCTGGTCTCAAATTCCTTAGCTCAAGCAATCCTCCTGCCCCAGCCTCCCAAAGTGCTGACATTATAGGCATGAATCAACGCACTTGGCCTCTTTTTTTCTTATTTTAAGAGAGACAGAGTCTGGTCATGTTATCCAGAGTAATCTTGAACTCCTGGGCTCAAGCGATTCTTCCACCTCAGCCTCCCAGGTAGCTGGGACTACAGGCATGTGCCACCATGCCCAATTAAACTGATTACTCTTTTTAAAAAAATTTGTATTTATTTATTTTTATTTTAGATTCAAAGAGTGCATGCACAAGTTGTTACATGGGTATGCTGCATGTTGGTGAGGTTTGGGCTTCTGTTGAGTCCATGGTAAGCATGGTACCCAAGGGGTGGTTTTCAATCCTTGTCCCCCTCCTCCTTTTAGGAGTCCCCAGTGTCTGTTGTTTCCATCTTTGTGTACCCAGTGTTTAGCAGTCACAGATAAGTGAGCACATGCACTATTCAGTTTTCTGTTTCTGTGTTAATTTGCTTAGAGTGATGTTAGCTGATACTCTTAATCATAACTGCCTTTAGTTCTCTGCCAGCTCTTGGCTTGCCTGAAAAAAAGACCTAGAGAGTGAAAATGTCTGGCAGACACAGCCCATGAGAAGAGACATGGGAGGTCAAGCTCTGGAAGGGTCTTGGAAGTAAGAGACCTGCTGACATCTGCCATAGGGTGACAGTTTTCTCCAACTCAAACTCTGTATGGAAAATTTGAAGAAGCCTGTTATCCACCACGAAATAGGAACTAGCTGAGATTTCTTTAAAGGCTTACTTAGTTGGAACTAAGTATGGCATTAGGCAGGGGGTGGGAGAGGGTGGCTTATATCAGTATGGTCCCATAGAGATAAAAATGTTAGCTACATGTGAAATTGAAAATTTCCAGCCAGGCTTGGTGGCTCAGTGTAATCCCAGCACTTTGGGAGGCCGAGGCAAGTGGATTGCCTGAGCCTGTGGGTTCAAGACCAGCCTGGGCAATGTGGTGAGACCTCGTCTCTACAATAAATAAAAAATGAGCTGGGTGCGGTAGCGTGCGCCTGTAGTTCCAGCTACTTGGAAGGCTGAGGCAGAAGGATCACTGGAGCTCAACAGGTCGACTCTGGGGGCGGCCGTGAGCATACCACTGCATTGCCTGGGCGATGGAGTGAGACTCCGACTTTAAAAAAAAAAAAAAATTTCCTACTAGTCACATTCAAAGTGATAAGAAATGGGTAGACGTAATTTTAATGATGTACTTGTATCTTATTTAACTCCATGTATCCCAAATATTACAATTTCAACATATGATTAATATTAAAATTATAATGTAATATTTTTCGTTATTTTTTCCCATATTAAGTTTTTAAAACTCAACATGCATTCAATACACACTGCATTCATCTCCATTGGGACTGGCTACGTTAAATGTGATCAGCATGGCTGCCATATTGGATTGGCAGATAAATGCCTTAAGACGAGCTGGACGCAGTGGCTCACGCCTGCCATCCCAGCACTTTGGGAGGTGAAGGTGAGAGGATTGAGTCCAGGGGTTCGAGACCAGCCTGGGAAACTTGGCGAGACCTTGTCTCTACAGCTAATTAAGAAATTAGCCGGGTATGGTGGCATGTGCCTGTAGTTCCGGCTACTTGGAAGGCTGAGGCAGGAGGATTGCCTGAGCCCAGCAGGTCGAGGCTGCGGTGACCGTGAGCGTGTCACTGCAGTCCAGTCTGGGCGACAGAGTGAGACTCTGACTCAAAGAAAAAAAAACTTAAGACAGCCTTGCGTGTAGTTTCTTGGGCCTGAACCCAAAGTTCGGAACAATTTATATAGAATTGATCATTATTGTTCCAGTTAACAACACTGACTGTAGATGCATGTGGATTCCAGGTCCAGAGGCTAGAAAGAACCATAGCTATTTTGTCTAACATATACTTCCTCATCCCCACATTATAGATGAAGGCATGGATGCTCAGGAATATGTCTGAAGTCACCTGGAGAGTTATCGGCATTGTCAAGACTCAAACTCAGTTGATCTTTTGGGTACATTGTATTGTGCAAATGCCAAAAAGCAACTGTGACTTTGTATCACTGTACACATAGGAGAATAGTGTGTATTTTAAAAAATGTACCGTACTCCCTTTTATGTGAAAAAATAGCTGTGACCTTTTTCAGGGTTCACAGAAACTAGATTGGAGAGATGGAGGTGCCCTCTGAGATCAGGTGGTTCAACTTCATTTTGTCTCCACATCCCTGAGATCAGAGAGGTTAAATGGTTTGCAGAAGGTCATTGCACTGAGTCTCTTGACTTGTGGCCACTGCTTTGTCGTCTTACTGGAAAGATGATCATGGGAATCAGTGGCTTTAAATCACCACAGGGCCAAGGGGGACGTTCTAAGTGCTAAGGGTTCGATTGGTATCTTACCTTTCTTGCTGAACACTCAACTTGAGTTTCCTTCTGGCCCTGAAGTCGTTTGTGAGGTTTATCAGTCTCTCTAAGAAGGAACCTGTATGAAAATAGGAGAAAATGTTTCAGAGGGAGGAGGGTGACCTGTTACTGCTTGAAGAAACCAATGGATGAAGTTGACACTTCCTGTGTCCCTTTGCCTAAGGGAAGAGCCCTCACTGGTAGGGTTCCTGCACCATGAGAGTGATCAGTTGTGAAAAGATCAGTTGTGAAAAGTAACTTATAACGGTGATTGTCAAGCCCAGGGCATTTGCCAGCATCTGAAGACATCTAATTGACATCCATTGGTAGAGGCTGCTAATTGTACAACACACAGGACAGCCATCCCACCCCCTGTCCGGCAACAAATTATCTGGCCTAAGATGTCAATAGAGTTGATGCTGAAAAACCCTAGCTTATGGGGGAAAGGGACAAAATATGTATATAGCCATCATTTGGTATCCACGGGGAGAGGTTCCAAGACCCTCTTTGGATATCGAAATACAAGGATGCTCACTCAAGTCAGTGGTATAAAATGGTGTCGTATTTGCATAGGAGTTACATACAGCTTCCCATATACTTTAATCCCCAAGTTGCTTCTAATACCTAATGCAATGTCAATGCTATGCAAATGGCTGTTATTCTCTATTTTTAAATTTGTCTCATTTTTATTGTCTTTATTTTTCAAAATTTTTAAAATCTGAGGTTGGTTAAATCCACAGATGTGGACCCTTACAGACTGAATATCTGAACTCTCTGTAGTCAAAAAAGCTAGTTTTTCCTTATTCTACTATGGTGTTCTTCACACGACTGTTTCCTTTTTTTTGAGTCGGCTTACTCACGGCTACCACAGCCTTGACCTGCTGGGCTCAGGCAATCCTTCCATCTCAGTCTTCCAAGAGGCTGGAACTACAGGCACGTGCCACCCTACCCGGCTAATTTTTAAAAAATTTATTGTAAGACTAGCCAAGTTGCCCAGGCTAGTCTTGAACCCCTGGTTTCAGGCAGTCCTCTCTCTTCTGCCTCTCAATTGGGATTACAGGCGTGAGCCACCATGCCCAGCTACATGACTGTTTCTTATGAGCATGAATTTAATTACAGTTGCTCTTTCCCTTGGAAAACTTACAGAGTCTTCCAAATTCCATGTTCCTTTGTAAACCAGAGGTGCTTTTTCAGAATCCATAGGAGAAAACAGTCATGTTTGTGAGCTCGTCTTGTTTTAAGAGGGTGAACGTGTATTTTGTACTTAGTTTTGGGGTTTCCTGGCATAATTTCCATCCCCCTTAAACCTACATGGCATCGAAAGCTAACAGCCTGGTAAATAAGCAGTTCGCAGTTATATTATCAGACATTTATGGTTAATTAAAATGTATCTATTTTTAGATGTTTTTAGAGCCTTCCATAAGCTTTAACTTTCTGCCTATGTTTTCTGTGCTAGAGGGGTCACACATGGGCGCTGATCGTGGTCCTGGGAGCCTCAGCAGAGCCAATGGAGGCTGCCATGGCCGGCTGCTTAGTGCTGTTGCAGCTATTTTAGGCAGAGAGAAAATGACAGGCGCCTTCCCAGTCTGGCTGAGAGTTCACAGGAGGCGACGTGCTGTAAGGAGGAGACAGAAGGAATTAAGGGAGTGTTTCTGCCACCTTTGGTGGGTTTGTGGATGGGAGGAGTGGGGGAATAGGGGAAACTGGCTAAATTGATAGATATTTTCTCTATGACCCTTGAGGCTACAACAAAGGTAATTTAGCTTTCAGGAAATCTGAATTGTGTGAGTCCTTGGGGACAGAGTCAGTGCCTATTGCTCTCGGGAACGTCCAGTGTGTTCGGATAGCTGAGAGTTTACACACACACACACACACACACACACACACACAGAGCAAAACAAAAAAGCTGCTGCTGTGGTTTGTCTCTCATTTGTAAGTAATTATGAGCCTTTCAGTTGCCTCATCTGTGGCCTAAAATGGGGTGCTTCAAAGCTGCCCTCGACTTTCTGGAAAACTTGGAAAAGCTCCATGGAAACGATCGGTTTTACAACTCAATAATGATCGTCCTCTTCCTGAGTGTTTCTGAAAGTTGCACATACCCTATGATGACTGGCAAGCTCAAGGAATGTTCATTGAGTTTCCAAAGGATAACATGGCAGGCTCCTTTTAAAGCCCTCCCAGCACCTGTATCCACTGCTTTGCACATCAGGCGACTACGTGAATGTTGGAATTGGAGTACTCTGTGCTTTCCTTTTTCCTCCTTATTGCTGCAGCCTTTGAAGTCCCGCTTTTCATTTCAAGCGCTATGTGCTTTTAAGATCATAATTAATTAGTTATTATTTCCATAAGGATCTATTTTGCTCAGTTACTAGCTCTTCAGTGTGTAAAGATGTGTGGGTTGTTTTTTTTTTTGATTCGGAGTCTCACTCTGTCACCCAGACTGGAGTGCAGTGGCCGCTCCCGGCCACTGCAGCCTCGACCCGCTGGGCTCCAGCGATCCTTCCGCCTCAGCCTTCCGAGTAGCTGGAACTACAGGCGGCCCGGCTGATTTTTTGATTTATTGTAGAGATGAGGCCTTGCCAAGTTGCCCAGGCGGGTCTCGAACCCGCGGGCTCAGGCAATCCACTCACCTCAGCCTCCCAAAGGCGCGGGATTACAGGCTGAGCCACCGAGCCCGGCTTAAAGATGTGTTTTTAATGGATTTTGACTTGCGTTGGCCATACACAGCTCAGTAAAGCTTGGTGGAGTTAAAATTAATATTAAAACTAAAAAAAAAAATGGCCTCTCCAAATCACTAGTGCTCTCTTGCATGAGTCAGTAAGAACTTACATTTCCACTGGGCTATGGTTTTAAGATAAATGCACATTAGAATATGCGTCGGCTAGACTACCCCCAGGGCCTGATGTGGAACGTATCTTGCCATGAATGCTTATAAAAATGGTTGAGAGGCTATCAGAAAACGTCAGAACCTCAGGGTAAGTGCATCCGGTTTTTGAGTCCATCTTAATTCTTCTCTATAACTCTGTCCCAGACTTCCACTCCCTTCGGATATGTACTAAATACTGTGGCCGATTGGCTTTTACTAAATGGAAGTTTTTAGTCTGGATATGTGCCCTTCATGTTAATTCTTCTGCTAAAAGCCACCACAAAAACGCACTCCCAGTCTCTGAGACTTGGAAGGCTGCGTTCCAGTTTTTGAACGATGAGATTTTTCACCTAGCATTAAGAGCCAAATCTTTAGAAAAGCAGCGTTAAAAACGACACATCTGTCTTAAAACAAAAATGTTTTGTTTTGAAAAAAGGTCACACAGGTTCTTTTTTACCCCTGTGACATTTATTTTTGCGATTCAAGTAGGCAAGGACCAAGCCCTCTCTTCCCTCCTCCTCTTCTTTTGCATTTGGTAAGTTGTTGATGAGTCTCCAATGCCCCGTTCTCCATGTCAGCCGGCCAGGGGGTCCTTTAGCATATGGCTTGGGTTTGGGGGATAACATTAGAATGGGTTCCAACCAGCATATCTATGTCTTGGGTCCCATCTGGCTTTCCAGCACATAGGAAGTAGATCTTTCAGAGACAGCCTGGTTGATCTGATTTGAATGATTAAATCCTTCTACCCAGGAAGGGCTGTGGTGTAGCCTGCATTCAGTGGGTCAGTGTGTAGGTTTGTTACAAGGTCACCAGATGGCAGTGGGTGGTTGGAGACCTTGAATTTCCATTTTTTTCTTTTTTTGAGTCAAGCTGTCCCTCGGTCACTCAGGCCGGAGTGCAGTGGCACGATCACGGCTCACCGCAGCCTCGATCTCCTGGGCTCAGGCAATCCTTCTACCTCAGCTTCCCAAGTAACTAGAACTACAGGCGTGTGCCACCATGCCTGGCTAATTTTTTGTAGAGACAAGTTCTTACTGTGTTGCTCAGGATGGTCTCAAATTCCTGGGCTCAAGCGATTCTCAGACCTGCCTCAGCCTCCCAAAGGGCTGGGACTGTAGGCGTGAGCCATTGCGACAGGCCTGGAGCCTTCAAATGTTTCTAACTCAGGACTTAGGGTCAGTCCCAGGGATTGGTCCCAGTTCTGAGGACCCACCTGGCTCTAGAAGCGACTATAAGTGGCAGTTGCACCTGCAGCTGGCAAGGAGAATGCCACAGGCTCCATCAGGTGTCCTCTTAGTCTTTGGCCCTTAATCTTTTTCCTGTCAGTATTTAGTAATTAGCAGATGGTGGATAGTAACATCTGTGATACAGAGACAGAAGAATTTTACATATGGGATAGGTAATCAGCTCTTAGCTCTTCAGGAGATAATTCAGGATGTGTTTCTTGTTGAGCACATACTCGGGTCACAAGTACCACTGCACACACATGGGCTTTTAAAGCTTTGGGGAACATATTGCCAAATGCCCAAGTTGTCCTGATTGGCCTCCTTGGCCAGCAGTCTGTGGGACTGCTCCTTTTCCTGAACCCTTGCCAACACCGAGTATGAGCCTATTTAAAATGTTTTGCCCATTCGTTAAGCAGACAAAAAGCATCTACTAGTTCTTACAATGAGCATTTCTGTAATTACTTGTGAGACTGAGGTAAGTCACGTGTTTATTGATCATGCGTGATTTTTTATTTCTGTTCTT